GGCAGGCTCCAGGCTCTGAGCTAGCTGTCAGCACCAGAGCCCGACTCAAGGCTCGAACCAATGAACCGTGAGATAATGACCTGAGCCAAAGTTGGACGCTTAGCTGACTGAGCCACCCAGGCACCCCTAATTTCTAACATCTAACAACTCAGAGGCATAAAAATTGCTGAGGCAAAGGACCTGGAGATGAATAGACAGTGGTGGTGTCATAGGCAGAAACTGAGAAGCAAGGAACATGAAAGAGAAAGCTTAGAGCTAGAGGTGAAGAATTTGGAAACTTCTCCACAGAAGGGGTCTTCGAACAGATAATGGAATCGCTCAGCTAGATGTGAAGCAGCAAGGCTCAAAGAGGAAGGCTAAGGCCAAGTTTCCCTTGTCTTTACCTCCTTGGCCTCCAAAGCATATAATCAATTGCTCCTCACAATCCCAGTGCAGCTCTTTCTGCCCACAGATCCTGTGCTAATAAAAACATCTTTTTGCACTGAAAAACAAACAAACAAAAAAAACGTTAGTTAAATGCGTAACACTGCTCTCGGTGCTTTTGGATGATGCCTACAGAAAAGGTGCACAGCCATGGAAAGTCCGATAATAAAACAGTGCTAGAGGTGTAATGAGATAATGTATGTGAAGTGGCACATGTTATAAGGTATTAAAGTATTTTGCATTAAGGCAGTAAAGTACCAAAGGTCAAATATCTAGCTTGGACTGAGCACTTTGCATTCAGAGGTTACTGTCCAAAGCAATGGCAAAGCAGTCTTGGAGAAATTTGAGATTCTAGCTTAACATAAACAGCACAGGCAAATTCTTACCACCTTTGTGATCTTGAGCAAGTTACTTACTTTCTCTCAACTTAACCATGTTCATCCATAAAACTGGGATAATCAGCACTCGTTCCATGGAGTATTATGAAAGTAAAATGAGATATAAAGCAGTTCCTGTGATGTTTGGCATGCAATAAGTACTTTGTGAATAGTAACTTTATTTTTATAGAGCTGGTATAAGCCTCAGTTCATAAAGTCAGATGTACAAGAAATATCAAAATCACTTCCCATCTTCAAATCAGTGTTACCAAAATTCTGAGCCCCATCCCACCAGGCTGGTAGCAAATGGAAGCAAATGGAATGACGGTTGTTCCTAGAGCTCCTACCCCTGCCCCAGGGTGGTGCAGAGGTCCCTCTGAGGCTTTATTGATCATTAGTTATCCAGGGACCCTACTTACTGCAGAGATGTCTCTTATCCGTGTCCAGATGATGCTTTTAAGTGCAGCACTCAGGTAGGAGCCTGAAACCTTTGATGAGGCCGTGAGCCAGAGTCAGGGAGCCAGCTTCCCTCCGTTTCTCACCCTGGGCAGCCTCCTCCCACGCTACCGGCAGGCAAGGTGCAGGCGCTCCGCCTGGCAGACCCCATGGCTTTCCCAGAGCCTCCTCTCTTTCAGAGCCCTCCACACCCTCATCCTTTTCCACCTACCAGGACACATCGGATTTCACTTTGGTATCATGTGGTACTGCCAATATTTTACCTTCTTTGGCCTATGAAACTGGCTGCTTCATGGAGTTCAGATTAATAGCAATTCAAAAAATTTCCTTCCTCTTCCTCTTCCTCCCCCTCCCCCTCCCCCTCCCCCCTCCCCC